TAATAAGCTAACCTTCTCTAAACATATTGATAAAATCACTTCCAAGGCATTCAAAACCCTCGGGTTCATCTAAAGAAACGGTATAGATTTCAGCAACTCCTACACCCTGACTAGACTTTTCCTATCTTTGGTCCTGCCTGTCCCTGAATATGGGTCAGTTATCTGGTCCCCTTTCTCAAATGTGATAATAGACAAAGTGCAGAAGGTCCAACGCAAATTTTGCAAGTCACTGGCTTATAAATTGTCATCATCAATTCACACCTACTCTACTGATGAGATATACCAGCGCTTTAACATCAATTAACTATCTGCACGTCGACAGGTTGCTGATCTCAGTTTCTTCTACAAAGTTGTTAACAACATCATTGATGCTCGCGAAATTCTGGGCTGTTTTGAATTTGCCTCAGTCGGCCCAACACTCAGGCGTAATCGAATACTAAAAACTTCCTGATCCATGGATGTGATCCATGGACCCCAAAATAGACTGGCTAAATCTATCAATTCACTTCAGGGTGAGATTGATTTTTACGGAGGTACATACACGGCTTTCATCGATAACACTTAGAAACATTTACTCTTGTAATCTAGGATTTTGATCTATGCAACTCCACCAAACTGCTACAACAGCGTCCTATATATAATATATATATTGTATATATTTGTATTTTTGCAAATACCCTCAACTAACTATTTTTAATTATGTATATTGCCGATTGGCGTAGTCAATAAATAAATAAATAAATAACGAAAATTGTGTAAAAATTAGAATGCTTATTTAAAACAAATATGAAAATAATTTATATAAATAAATATGTAGAAACAATGTAGGGAAGTGTTAGTGTATAATAAGTGCATAATATAAAAGAAAAGTTAAACTGAGCAACTTATCTTTTTACACTTTGCAAAGCAATAGTAGGTTTACATTTGGAAGATATATAATATATATCATCTACCATACTGACAAGTAAGAAAGGGCTAAGTTGTAGTGTAAACAATTAAGGATGTGTTAAGTTCAAGGGTAATCGAATATACTCTCGTAATTTGCAGGGAACACAGCCCAAGACATAGGGTGCGTTCGAGATTACGACAGCAGCGCACTTAGACCATCATTAGTCCCATTGTACTCCCGGGTCGTAATCAAGTTAAGCCTCATTCAGCAGCTCCATGGATTTGGTAAAAACTCTGATTATTTTTCACCAAAGCTGCCCAATTTCCTTAAGTTGGAGTATTGGGAGCCGTGGAATATGTCCCTTCTCGTTCTGCTGAAGGCAAGGCATTCGCATAGATAATGTTCCAGCGTCTCATTATCTTCCGCGCATGCTCTGAATTCGGCCGAATCTACTTTTCCCATTTTCTGAACATGGGATCTTCAAGGTAGGTGCCCTGCGATGACCCCTACAATGTTGATAATCTCCCATTTGCCTAGAACTAGAAGCTTTTTGTCTGTCCACCATCAACACTATCGAAAAGTAACTTTGTGCTATGCCCTATGGTGCTTGTGTTCAAAAACCTGAGATGTTCCTCTAGGTCTATTGCTTCAAACAACCTTTGAAGGAGCTGAATGACCTGGGGCAGCTTAGGGTAATTGTATCTCTAGATGCCTCGGAGCGGGCCAACTCGTCCGCCTTTTCATTTCTTTTTTTCCTATATGACTGGGTACACAGATGAAATTAACCGAGTTACCTAGTAGAAGTCTAGCTATTGCCTACTTGCATAACCAGCGCAATGAGACTTGGTATATGCGCTACGGATAACCCTAGTTGCCGCTTGGCTATCCACTAGAAAGCTTACTTACTGACTTGAAGCTTAGAAAGCTTGACTTACTGGTCCCACTTGGCCTCTTTTATTATGCCTACAATTTCAGCATGAAAGACTGAGTTGTAGCCTTTTATTTTTTGGAACTGTTGATCGCAAAACCATTGGTCCAATCTTCTCTATTGGGGAATGAAAATGATGTATTGAATTTCTCGCAGGTCTCCTTTTCTCGGTTGGTTTGCCAGCTTAACCCGACTTTATTCGCAAGGTCGAGAATGATACCATGCCCGTAGTGATGCCTAGCCTGGCTCCAGTGGCCTAAAATCATGAGCCGGTTGGCTGTAAGCATTGCCTCATCCCTCACTTATACAATATATGCATTGGCCGGATGACGAGTATAACTCCTAGAGCCTTTGTCGAAGTAGTTTTCATTGCGCCCGTAATTCCCAGCAAGCAGGCCCGTTGGATCTGTTCTCGGGGTCTAATACGACACGTTACCATAGGGAGAGATAAGTAGGCGTTTAATCTGCTATAGTATCCAGAACGAAGTTGCGCAAGTGTCACTCTAGATTCTCGTGGCAACTCGAGCTCTTCGTCTGCGATGGGTGGTGGTTTGACTCCAAGTACGCCATTCACTGAGAGGAAGTTGGTGAAAGTGTTGTTGGCTCCACTGTGAATGGCGGTCAGTGCATGTCTAAAGTTCGTTGCGTCCGTTGCCAGCAACGTTTCTTTGTCTTTACTCAATGAGCTGCCGGCAAGCAACTTGGAGATTTGGTTGCGGGTCTGTCGTTTGACTGTTATCGCGGTCGTGTGAGGAGTGAAGGAGCACAGGCTATCAAATGTCACATCTGAAATTTTAGGGTTATTGACCGTCGGAATTTTAACGCCATCGACTGTAATGTTTAGATCCAGTCTGTACTTCTTCGTCCAGTTTGTGAATATGGTCGCTGTGTGGGAGAGTATTAAGCCCCAGTGAAGAAGCGAGAAAGGTCGGAGAGATAGCCGTCTACTTTTAAGCACATGCGATCGATTCCATTACCCGACGTCAATATCGTGCAGTCGTCAGCGTACGAGGTCATGGAAATCACCTCTTATGGTTGGGAGAGTTTCGACACATATAAGTTAAAGAGAAGCAGGGAGAGGACACCATCAACTTGGAATTTTGAGTACGGATGAATGCCGAACACTCGGGTAGTTTATATTCCACTTCTTCAGCCCTGGAGGAAGCGTTGATTGTTCGATGTCCTCAAGTAGCGTTGTATGGTTGACTGTGTCAAAAGCTTTTTACAAGTCCAACGCTATGAGGATCCATCTATCAGAGATTGGCTTTTAGTTTAGACCAATAGAATTATCTGGCCGTTTATGTGAGGTGGTGCTGTGCACTTTTCGGAAGCCATGTCGGTGGTCTGCTAGACTCAGGTGGTGTGTGAATGTTAGGAGTAGCAAGGCCTCAAGTGTCTTCACTACTGAGGAAAGGAGAGTTATAGGACGATTAGACTCGCCTCTGTTGGCGGGTTTCCCAGGTTTCAATAGTGGGACCACTCTTCCGATTTTCTACACATCGGGTATATGAAGAGTAGTCAGCGACAGGTTGAAGACCTTGGTGAGATAGCTTACTTCCGTCGAGCCTAGATGTTTTAGCATCAGCATGTTTATTTCATCAGAGCCAATGAGTTTTGACGATTTTGCTTTGTTGATGACACTCTGAACCTCCCATCGGTGCAGTGTGAATTGCCTACTGAAATAGAAAATTCTTCGGGTCCGAGGAGGCATGACCATCGAACTGAATTTCAACCCGGTCGTCATGTTCCCTTGAATTAAACAAGGCCTTGACAGTAGTCCAAAGCTTACTTACAAGGGTGGAGAGGTTGCATAATTTAATTTGATCTACCCATTTTGTCCGCTTATGTTGGTTTACCGTTTACCGAATCTCCAAATTGAGATCCTTTATTCTATCACAGGGATCGACATGGTATGAAGAGAGCGGTAGCAACCGCGATCACCTTGTGGAATTGACGCTCGCTAACGATGGTGCGGTTGAAATAAAGTTAGGAGGTTTCTCGATCGAGGTAGTTATTGGCAGGTGGGCTGATGAGAGAGTTAACATAGGTCGCCAGGTTAAGCTATTTATCATACCACCGCTAGCGATGGAAACATCAGACGAGCTATTACAGGTGCCCATAATTCTGGTGGGGGCTTCGTCATTCATTTTGCAGAATGTCGAATCGTCTATCTTTTTCACCAGCTTCATCCCCCTACGATCGTTTGACTATCAGGAGTGCCAATGATCGACCTATGTTAGGGTGATATCCTTTTGGGCAACATGTAACGGGGGGATGTATATATTAAATATATATAGCTCGACATCGCCTGTACCCTAACTTTCTAGGGTAGTATCCCTGCGGTCGATGTCACCATCGATAAGACGATATTACAAGATGTTGTACAGTATGAAGGCTAGGCCTCCACTATAATCTCGCTCGTGATCCTTACGTATGACGTTGAAACCTGTACACCTCAGAAGATCTGAGCGGCTGTTTAACTTGGTTTGTTTGACTGCGGCTCATAAATGCAACTATATCCTCGATCTTGCTCTGGAGTCCGTTACAGTTAAATTGTAAGAGTCGGATTTGTCTCGTGTGTCTAGGCGGGATTCTGAGGGTGAGAAAGTTGCGTGTAGGTGATGGTTGTTGCAGCTGTAATAGGTTAGGGGCGGTTATCACGCTATGGTGTTATTTGGCGACGCCACCGTATGGAATTGCAGAATTACTACAGCATGAGGCAAAATACGACGCACTCCACTCACGTGTGGTGCGCAGGGCAAAACATGACGGAAAGTGACATCAGGCTGTAGAGGAGTTGCACTTGACTGATGTAACGTTGGGACGGATAACGGTCTGTCCCACGGAGCCGGCTGTACGAGGAATCATTAGTGGCTGAGTGGTTCCCGTACGAGGATTGGAGCGGGATGAAGGTTAGGGGAGTGATTGGTCAGACTGGGCGTCATAGTGCCTGTATGAGCTCCTTAGGAGCACAAAGTTCGTTTCTTGGCCACTCGACTGGAGAAGCAGTGCAGTGCGTGAACATCGTGCAGATTGCATGGTCATTAAGTCGGGTGCCGCAGTTGTATGTTGGCAGCATGGGGCCACATAACTTGTGGTCCACTCCCTATGGGTCTTAAGACCTGAACAGGCTCCATTCATTGCATGTGTTGCACCTAAAGATGACAATATTTAACTAATACTTACCAATCAGGCAGGATTAGATCGCAGATAAAACAGCCCTTGGCCAAATAAAATTCTTGTCAATTTCGGTAACGAAGAACCTGCTCTTGTGGAAGTTGTTCCGTCCTCTAGTCTGGCGGTGACGACATCCTCGTTGCTGAAATGCGGTAGAAGAACTTCTTCTGACCAACAAAGAAACTATGGTTTTACCTGTGTTATTGGTCGCCAGCAGCCAATGGCTTTTTGTTTTAAACCCAGAGATACTATTGCTTCTCAGCCACACTCTTGTATAAAGGCATCGTCGCTTCTGTTCCTCCCCAAATAGAGCAATAGATTGGCGGAAGCTGCCCTTGCGTGATGGAGAGTAATCTGAAGGTCCTTCATCCTCTCCAGAAGTTCGAATGCCTCCGCCGTCCTCTTTGAACATGTTTTAACGCAATTTTAAGGGCCGATGTATTGGGCATAAAGTGTGCTGGAATAACGAAAACCATTATATTAGCTTGGGTAATTTGTAGTTCGATTTCACACATTTTCGACGCTAAATTATTTTATTTCTAATATTATATATAAACGTTCACTGAATTTTGCTTAACTTATGTATTGACCGATATTTATGGTATAAAGCCAAACGGTTGTTTGCAATTCTTAAAATATTAGGTGTATGGAGATAGTGTTAGTATTTTCCAATCAATAATATTGCTAATAGCTTGACCAATATTTTCGGTAAAAAGTCAGCTATAGCCACTATGGTTCACATATTTAGTGTTGCGAGCTTGAAAAGTTTTGGCCTGATTTCGACCATTTTTAGATGAAATTGTAAATAAAAATTGTGATAATTGTACACTAGTTTATTAAGGAGCGGGGCCATGCCTATTCTTTTAAAACTTTTCAACCAAATAAAAGTTTTGTAGTTTACTTTGTATCTTAGTTATAATCTTTTATAATTTTTTGCTTAACGGCATTTGGTGGGCATGTCGATTCCGCTCATTTGCAACCGTTCTGTAAACACGTGGACCAAGTATCACCGCACTATTTTTACTAAAGTTATCGCTAACACGAACTTACGTACAGACAGTCACGAGAAACGTCAGGTGAACAACTGTAGCAATTTGCGAGAGTATTTAATTGACAACTGCTACTTCTCAGTTATAGATGGACATTTCATTGAAAAAAAGAAAAATTTTAAAGAAAATGGCAATCAGCAATTTTGTTAATATATATTTTAAAAAAGACTACACTATCACAACAATTTGAAAGACTTGTTGAACTCGTAGAGAAAAATTCCAAAGATGGACGAGGTAAGATACAATTTGGAAGCAGTTAAAATAACACCGCCGCCGGGATCTGAAAGTTGCACATAACTTCAATATGGAAGGTGCATCAGTTTCTCGTACCCACTTGTTGAAATGTTCCTTCATCACTTTTATTATAACAAACATTATTAAAAAGTCATTCAATTGTAACTTCAACTTTTTCAAGGTTTGTTGCATGAAAGATTCCAAGAGTTCTACGTCGTATTTGTGAAAGAGCTGAGCACTCACAGATGAAGTGTATAACTGTTTCCTTGTTCCCTGCGAGTTAATACAATAAATATTTTTATAGTGCATTCTCATGTTCTTCAAATGGCCAATACCCCGTTACAGCTGTAAGTCTAAATATTTTTACTGGACCTATTTGATAAGTCCTTAGCTTTTACCATATTTTGGTCATATCTGCTTCGCTATGTTGCGTTTGGTTATATACTTTTTACCTTTATTGATTACGCTGGAATTAATATATGGTAGCTTTCTGAATCCTCCCGTAGTTATTCAGTAGCACTCAAGAGGCCAGTAACTATTGAAATCCTACCTTGAAAGGATATAGTCCGATTTGTTTAGAGCTGGTTCAGAAAATCGTTTCCTGTAACAGCCACCTATCTCATTAATTCTTTTATCCAGAAAATGTTGCTACTTTCATATGAAAACGTCTGTTAATAGCCTCGGCAAAACTTGCACAGACTGCACTCCGTATTCCATTTAATTTTCCGATATTATATTGTTTCTTTGATGCTGGCCACCAAACCAGTGATCAATATGTAAGAATTTTTCTAATGACGGCGGTATACATCCACATGACTAAAGAAGCTAAGTGATATATAATATATGTATATAAGCTAAGCTATGATTTATAAGTTCACCAAATACGACCATAAACGGTTCATTATTACTTTTTAAACCAATTTTTACTATAAATTTGTTGCTTGGGTGTATCAAAATGATTTTATCAGACAATGTTTTCCTGTTCGATAGACTTAAATTTCGGCGTTTTCGACGAATGACTTGTTGTGATGGTTAATAAAATATTGTAATTTCAAACGTTTTATATGTATTCAGTCGATCAACGAAATATGTTTAGCTCCTCTTCAATCTCTCTGATGCTTAAACGACGATTTTCAAGCACTGTTTCTTTAACATTTTCAATGTTATCATAGCGGTTTGGGGCCACGCCCAGATTAAAAACGTTTTAGGCCACAGTAGTCCTTCGATACTGGGATCTCCGAAACTAAATAACAGTTTTGTATGTTAATTAAGTGCTTAGTTATAGCACTTTATAGGTTATCGTTTAATGGCTTTTTGTGGGCGGGACAGTGGTCCGATTATGCCATTGAACATATGTGTCAAGTTTCATAAAGTATTGTAGATCTTTTCATTACATACAACTTTGGCATTTAACTTTTTTCTATAGAACTCGTAGTTTTGCCGAAAATCGAGATAAACCGTTTCTAACCCTTAGAAGTTCAATCACCCATCTCTACCATTCAACCTCCCTACCTTTGATCGGCCGTAAATTGTTTTTATTTTAATTTTTGTCATTTCTTCCTTTTCCAATGGTGTCATTGTACAATTTTTATTTTTATTTTTTGCTTTTCAAAATTAAATACCCTGGCCTAATATGATTAAATCTATGTATATAAACTTTGTATAGCTAATAATAATTTTCTGGTGACCGAGATATTCAGATCCATCTATTCAAAAAAAAAAATGTGCAACGTCCATTTATCCACAATGTGGGTTCACAAAGATTAAAATAACTCATTAAAAAGCTATCTTTTTTTACCTATTTAAAATTCCTGCAATAATTGTGTTATATGTTTTTTTTTGTAGCAATGAATCGCTTTACGAAAGTATTTGGTAATAAAAGATGTAACGTTATTGCAATGGTCCACGTTGATGCTTTGCCAGGTAAATTTTGTACATAATTGTAATATGACTTCATTTCATTAATAAAATCGTGTATTAACGTCTTAGAGTAAAAAATACAATTATTATTTAAAATTGGAGGGTACGAAATAAGTAGTACTCAAATATACATTTATCATTCATATACTTTCGGGTTTTTACTGTTTCGCACAAAGAATAAACAAATCATGGTTATTTGTTTCCGAAGGGAAATATTTCAGTTTGTTTTTACAAGCCTGCTATATTACCTGACTTTGACAGTTGAGAGTATCAGATAGGTTTGCGCGTTCAGCAACTTCAAAAACTGAAATAAATAGATTGAAACTCTACCAAAGCAGAGATCGACGTGCAAGATTTCAAATAAAATTTTAAGACGAGTAAGGAAAAGCTAAGTTCAGATGTACTCGGACATTTTATGCTTTCGCAATTTGTAAGGATCAGAGCCGAGTGTCTTTTTAGATGTTGGCAAAACATTGTATTAACTTATTAAATGAAAAAAGCACAAATCATGACACGCCTTTCTCACAATGATACAAGTATTTTTCGGACAATGTGACAACTGTTAGCTTATATTAAAAATTATTTTTCACTTTTTAGTTAAAGTGCTTTAAAAGCGTGATGGTTTTTTTTTTTTTAAACTATATTCAATTTTCACCTTTTAGTTTAAAGTGCTTTAATACATGTCGAATGTCGAACCAATAATATCTGAATTCATGACCCCTCCTACCTTTTTTTATCGGTTTCAATTCTGATACCGACAACTATCAGATTTTACGCCCTCCCTGAGTATGATATTCAAATGACAGCATGGAAGTCGATATTTTCCGCTGTATAGTTTCATGGGCACTGTTTTTTGCAGGATGGATAGTTGAAGCTTTTGACTGCATAGTGTTAGGCTCATACTTTTTGTTTTTTTGTAGTGCTTACCAAACGGTTGATTATTTTATAAAAAAAAGGGCTTTGTTTTAAACAAATTAACCCTACTCCTCTTATTCTTTATGTCAATAATTTTCAAAACATATGTACCATATGTACATATTATATGGATATTGTGAATATTTTTTTACCAATAATAGCTTCACTCTAAATGATAACAAAATTAAATAATTTTTTGTAAATGTAAAACAAGGTACTCCTGGATACAAAGGAAATTGGTCCCAAATTGTGAATAAAGCAAAAACCGAAGCAAGTATTTACGTTAAACATAAAGTGGTGAATATAATTGATATTTAGTCAACGTTCAATACTTTTAAATATATTTTTTTTCAGGATGCCATCTTAATAGAAAATATGCATGATGTACCTTATATTCCAAATCGTCTTTTAGGCCCAGAAACCGTTGCTTGTCTATCGAGAATATCTAGCGAAATTCGTCAAATAGTTCCATCCTCTCTGCCTTGTGGGCTTCAAATATTGGCTAGCGGCAACAAACAAGCACTAGCCGTCGCAAAAGCATGTGATTTAGATTTCATTCGCGCAGAAGGCTTTGTGTTTGCACATGTGGCAGATGAAGGTTATACGGATGCTTGCGCTGGGAAGATACTGCGCTACCGGAAGTATATTGATGCCGAAAATGTCCTGATCTTTACGGATTTAAAGAAGAAACACAGTTCCCATGCCATCACGCATGATGTTACATTATTTGAAACCGCGAAAGCAGCAGAGTTTTTTCTATCGGATGGCATTGTGATAACAGGTCAATAAATTTTTGGTAATAAGCAAATGTAGCTAAAATTTTTACCTTATTTTCAGGTAGATCAACCGGTTGCGCGGCTAATATGGAAGATTTGAATGCGGTAGCGGGTAAAATTAACGCTCCCTTGATAATAGGCTCCGGGGTGACAAATACAAATCTAAAGCAATATTATGAAAGCTCCCAAGCAGTGATTGTTGGTTCCTCTTTTAAGCTCAATGGATTCTGGGCGAATAATCTATGTGAAAAATCAATTAATAAATTTATGGAAGAAATGGAAAAATTAAGAAATTAACTGAGTCCATGAATTAAAAAACCTCTGTTTAGTACTATTTGATAGTAAGAGGTGGTCGAGATCGCAAAAGCGAATATTTTGTATTTGTGTAATAATTTTATAATATATTGTTCAAAAGTTAAATGATTCTAACAATATAAGTATGCTACCATACCATGTGCGATACATTCTGTAGTTTAGTATTTAAATTTTTGTTTAAGAAAACACAATTCTTAATTGTTTTTTCACAGAATAGAAAATGTTTTTGTCTCCCGCATTTAATACATCTGATGTACTATCAGTCGTATGTGAATGTACTATAAAGGTTTGCTGCACAATTCAGACTTTAACAACGAAGCGAAGAAAGAAAGGGGTAAGCCAGAATGAAGGTTTTGCTTTCAGTCTACAAGAACAGTGACAGTCATCTGACCGGTCATATAAGAGTCATAGCTGAAAAAATTTTGTCTGCGCTCAGAACAAAGTTTCTACTATTTTCTTAAGTGCCTTGTGCCAAACCTGATGTAAACAAACGTATGTGTGAAAGTTGGCATCTCTCTTTAACACATGGATATTGGGAATTGGTTCACTATATATCTATACTGCTCACTCTCATGACTTTTTCTATGTCATTGCTGACCTTAAATCCATCATAGCTGAAAATTGTCAGTTATGACTGCAATCTATCGCAAGTGAAAAATTCTTTTGCGCAGTAGATAATATAATTTTTATTTCTTTAATAAATTTTATTTAATTACTTCGTGTGCGCACTCACCTCACGGGGGCGATCCGGATGGCTGCTCTGCTGCGATCTACGGCTTGGTATGGTGCTGTCTATTGCACAGTTGGCAAAGCGTAACCGACGTACACTCCGGTGTCGTGTGGACCGTAGACAAACAGTTGAGGCAGTGCCCGTGCGCTTGGGCAACCTGCTGACGTTGTGGTGGCTGCATGCTTCGCAAAATGCTGCAGTGTTGCAGCCGGTGTGTGCGTCGACACAGTGGCCATCGGCTGCGTTGCGGCACCGTTGCCGGTGCTGATGAAGGTGGTAGTGGTCGCGCGCCATTACGGTTCGTGGTGTTGGAGTTGCCCCAGGGCGCGGCACATTGATGGCGGACCTCACAGCTGGCGTTGGTGTTGCTGCCATATCTACTTCCATATTGATCTGTATGAAGAAGTTAGAATGATTATACATTTGTGGCATGTAAATTTATGGCAAATGTGCGACGGTATGTGGCAGGTTCGATCATGCGGTTAGAATGGTTGGTTTATAACGGTTTTGTCATTTGTGGGTTTATTGGTTAATTATATGACTAAATCATTTGCGTCGCGGTAATATCGGCGGATTGTTTGTTATTTGCGGTTTTGTCATTAGATACGGTTGGCAGAAAACATAATTTCACGAGAGGTCTTGTCAGCGTTCCGCTTTGAGTACGGAGATCAACTACTCGTATATGACCGTCGGAACCGTAATATAGTTTTTCTATGCGACCAAGCCGCCATTCTGTGGGTGGTAGACAATCATCGTGTATGATAACACAGTCTCCAAGCTTTGGTGCCTTTTCTGGAGTTTTCCATCGGTACCTTTTATGAAGGTCCTTGATGTACTCTTCCTTCCATCGGCGGCTGAAATCATGATGGAGAATTTTGATTCTTTCCCATCGATTTAATAGGGATAGCGACCCCACGCCTGTCTCAGGTATGGCCAGAATGGGTGCTCCTTTGAGAAAATGCCCTGGAGTTAGGACTGTGAAGTCGGAGGGATCTTGCGAGAGTGTTGTGAGTGGCCGTGAATTGAGAACGGCTTTAATTCGGGTTAATAAGGTAGTGAATTCTTCATAATTGAAGTTATAATTTCCAGCTACTTTTTTGAAGTCGGATTTGAAGCTTTTTACAGCTGATTCCCATAAACCACCCATATGAGGAGCGCTTGGGGGGGATAAACTGCCAATTAATGCCTTGGGGAGCATACTTCTGAACAATTTCAGGTGATACTTGTTTAATAAAATCCACAAACTGTTTTTCAGTGGCTCTTTGGGCTCCAATGCAGGTTTTGCCGTTATCGCTCATTAGTTTTGAGGGGAAGCCGCGTCGTCCGACGAAGCGAGCAAATGCCGCGAGAAAAGCCTCCTTAGTCAGATTTGTACATAGCTCGAGGTGCACTGCTTTTGTCGTAAAACAGACAAAGACAGCCACATAGCCTTTCATTATGGTGGGCAACCTTAGCATGGACGCCTTTATTTGAAAAGGCCCAGCAAAATCGATACCTGTGACTGTGAAAGGCAGAGCGAAGTTACAGCGTTCCGGTGGAAGTGCTGCCTTAATCTGCGTTCGCAACTTCTGCTTATACAGAGTGCAGATCTTGCACATGAAAATGCATTTTTATTTGGGGCTTAAGTCGGGAATATAGAACTCTTGGCGGACATATGTTGCATTAGGCGATGTTCTGCGTGGAGCATAAGTAAGTGATATAATTAAGGAGTAAAGTGGCAAGTCGAGATTTCTCTGGTATTAGAGGATGGCGTTCATTATACGTGAGGCTTGAATTGGCAAGCCGACCATTCGCACGAAGCAGACCTTTCGTGTCTAGGAATGGGTTAGAACTAAGAGTGAACTCCTTTGTCAATGGGTTTGATTCTTAATAGTGTTATATCGCGGCTGAAGTAGCGCGTTTGAGTTGATGCGATTAGAGCGATCTTTGCCTTTTGCAATTCTAGGTGCGTCAATGTATCGCATTGGGTACTCTTTGAAAAG